AGATGGTAATTTGTGAGCAGCCAGTGCTCGTTAAAGCTCCCCTACTGAAAGGAGTAACCTAGATGGAAAGGGGGAGGGGGGAAACAGCTCTTGTTTCATGCACGATCAGCTGGTGAATTGTACCTTGTTAAGAGGATTGATAAGTTCAAGATCTTCTCAGGAAAACTAATACCTTCGTTTACCTCCAATGAGCAGAGATGGTGCTGGGGAAACCAATTTAAAAGTGTTTCCTCACTCATGTCTGGGTTTAAGTCAGGTGAGGAAGGCATTTATGTATGTGGCTGGTACTGGTTCTCCCGCACGGCTCATAAACAGCACAGAGCACCAGAAATCAGTCTCCTCCCAAGCACAAAAAGCCTGAAGAAGAGGCGTTTGGAGCCAAGCTGTCAGGTACATCACTTCTGATTTTTCCATGTTAGATGCTGAGCTGAGTCGCCGAACAATTAAAAGTGCATTATTGCAACATGCACTGGGAATATGCAAGCCACCCACCGCATGAGTGCCGGGGGATTGTTGAGTGTGCTCAGTACGTGTGCGCCAGAAGCTTCTCTTCAATCCTCTCTCTCTTTCACAAGCTGCTACCAGCAGAGCCTGAGGAGCACAAACCAGATTTCAATGCCTTGCACAAACCAGCACCCTCTCAAAAGGGGAACAGAAGAGCCCCCGTAAAACGGGAAGGAGGCCTCTCTCTCTTGTGCTTTGTTTTCAAATGGCTCAACCGCACTGGCAAAACTTACCCAAACTTCCACTTCTGGGATGACAACAAAGCTGCTGGTGTCTCTCGGCCCCCGCGGTAAAAAAAAAAGCTGTCAGTGTTTGAAGTGGCCAAAGACAAACCCTTCGCATCGAAATGCCTGCACTGTATAACTTTAACTGTGCTGTCTCAGCACGCAGCGCCTACAATATCAGATTGTTCATTTATAACCCAGGAGCAGATTCTCTCATTGCATACAACGCTGAATCCTCCCCCAAGAAAAAGTCCGAGCAGTAGCTCTGCAGCTCTATTGACTCAAGGCCCCCCCCGCTAGAGTCAAGCGTCCCGTGGAAAATACCAGCTCTTACTTATCACTTGATTTTTGACTATGGAAAAATACTAGAGCAATTCTGTTTCAAGCAACTCCGAAAGATCGCAGCAGGGCAGAATGCTTTTAACACTATTTGAAACTTCTGGGTTTACCCTGTGAATCATGTTTGCACACCCAACGGTGCTAACACTAGGGGCACCCCTGAAAGGATCTCAAGGCAGCCCAGGGTTGAGACTCATTGCTTTAGAGCGAACCAGGGCAATTTGCAAGGGAGCATCATGAAAACCAGTCTAAACATGCGGCCTTCAGTTTGGATTATAATTCAGGTTTTTTGGAAACCTTCTGTCTGTAATGAACTGCTTCTGCAAGATTATTGTGGGGAGTATAGCAGCAGTGACCCAGTGCAGCTATCCGACCACCATGACCAACGGGTGGAATTGGTCGGAAAGAGAAGGACACAGGGCAAAAGATACGAGCTGGCCAGATCCTTAATACGAGACAGTGGTGCATTTACAGACAGGAGCCAGGGGACAAGAGTCGCCGACAGAGCATTTGCAGAGTTGCAAAAGCATCAGGAGCAAGGCAACTTGGAGGCAGGAGGTAGAAGCAGCTCTCAGACAGGTCAGGCTGACAAAGGGAACTGGAAAAGCCGTTCCCTGCATGCCTGATTTGCCGAGTAAAGAGAAGGGAGGGGAAGGAAGTGCAGCGGTGTGAATCAGAACAGAGGACAGTCATTCGACTCTCCCAGGCAAGTACAGAGTTATAGGTTATGCTCTAGCGGGGAGGACTGCAGGTACCGCGCACCAGGCCTGCGGGCACTCTTTTGCAGTCAGCAGGGCCCAGCACGGAAATCCAGCCCCCGCCGTACGCGACCAGGTGTGCACACAGAGCTGCCGAGCCTGGGACTTGTGCAGGAAGACGAGCTGCGGTGCCAGCCCCGGCCCCTAACAGCGCTGTCCGCTCGCTCGGTGCGGCCCGACACAGCCGTCTGCCCAGCCGGCCGGCACCGCTGAAGTTTCCCATGCTGGCAGCTGCTGCTTGGCCGATTCAAACAAAGCCACTTCCCCAAACATTTACAGCTGCACCAAAAAAATTAAATAAATAAACCGCCCACCCGAGCTCACGCTGAAATTTTAGCCCGGAGTGACAGCCGCAGCAATTATTATACAAGCCCCTAGAAAATGGGATATCGGTGTGAGCGGGGAACGGGATCCACAGCCCAACCTTCCTCTGACAGCTTTGCATTGACACGGCTGAGTCAGGCCTGCTAGGCAACTCGTCTCACCAGAGGCTGTAAACAAGCATGATTCATTGGCACAAGGAGCCTCATTTCACATTCCCTAACCCGGATACGGACACGAGAGCAGAGCCAGTCAGGCCCAGGCACTGGCCAGCCCCAGGAAACCATCTGCAGCAGCTTTGTGCCAGGACACTGAAAGCATTTGAGTTTTAAGAGCTTCCTGCAGTCCCAAATCATAGACAATGAGGGTGGGATGGGACCTCAAGAGGTCACATCTAGTCCAACCCCTGCTCC